GACCCCTGCCCCCATTCAACCCCCCCGTCCTCTGACCTCCCCGCCCCCTATCCACACCCCCACCTCCTGACCACCACCCCGAACTCCCCTGCCGCGCCGCCCAGAGCACCAGGACAGGCAGCTGCACTGCCCGGCTGGAGCCAGCCACACACCGCGCAGCCAGAGCACCGCTGCCCCAGGAGCTCCCAGCCCCCCGCCCTGAGCATTGCACGGGCAGCGCAGTGAGCTGAGGCTGCGGGGGAGGGGGACGGACAGCGGGGGAGGGGCTGGGGGCAAGCCTCCCGGGCCAAAAGCTCAGGGGCCAGGCAGGAGGGTCCTGCGGGCCGAATGTGGCCCGTAGTTTGCCCGCCTCTGGCTTAAGTCAATGTAACTTGCGTTGCTTGGCATGGGGTTTTTTCACACCCCCGAGCAACATAAGTTACATCGCCGTAAGCAGTAGTGTAGACGAGCCCTAGCTCAAAGGGTCACTTACCCAATGAGGCAGCAGAAACAAGACTGCATGGCCATTCATACAACACAAAACAGCCAAGGGTCAAAGCGGGCGGTCTGGAAACAACCCATAGGTAAAAATTCCATAACCAGACTATTCGGCAAACAGCTTTGCAGAAATCAAGGCTGGTTTGTGACTAAGCTGCTAATTAAAGGGAGCTACTTTGCTAGTGAAAATTATTTAAAACCATTTGACTAGCTTTGATGAAAAGATTCCACCTAAAACCTGTATTCACTCCCTCTAGAGTCAAGTTGCTTTGTTCGGTGTTTTTCTGACTCATTATTCCTACATATTTATTGCTAACGTGAGCAAGGTGAGAAGGTTGGTCTGATTTCATTTTCAGGATTTTAATCTTCATAAGACCGGCCACACGGGGTCAGTCCAATGGTCCAGCTAGCCCAGTGTCCCGTCTTCCGACAGTGGCCAGTGGCAGGTGCCCCAGAGGGAATGAACAGAACAGGTAACGATCAAGTGATCCATCCCATCGCTCATTCCCAGCTTCTGGCAAACAGAGGTTTAGATACACCCAGAACACGGGGCTGTATCCCTGATCATCTTGGCCAATAGCCATTGCTGGACCTGTCCTCCGTGAACTTATCTAATTCTTTTTTGAACCCAGTTATACTTTTGGCAGGGGATGCTGTGAAGGCCAACAAGTTCCACAGGCTGACTGAGCGCTGTGTGAAGAAATATTTCCTTTTGTTTGTTTTAAACCTGCTGCCTGTTAATTTCATTAGGTGACCCCTAGTGCTTGTGTTATGTGAAGGGGCAAATAACACTTCCCTATTCCCTTTCTCCACACCAGTCATGATTTTATAGACATCCATCATATCCCCCGAGTTCTCTCTTTTCCACACTCAACAGCCCCAGTCTTTATAATCTCTCCTCACACTGTTCCATACTCATCATTTCTGTTGCCCTTCTCTGTACCTTTTCCAATTCTAATCTATCTTTTTTGAGATGGGGGAACCAGGACTGTGCACAATATTCAAGAGCTGTATGTACCATGGATTTCTATGATGGCATTATGATATTTTCTGTCTTATTATCTATCCCTTTCCTAGCGGTCCCTAATGCTGCACATTGAGATGTTTTTAGAGGATTCTCCACGACTCCTCCAATCTCTTTTTCTTGACGGTAACAGCTAATTTATTTTAGGCCCTATCATTTTATATGCATAGTTGGGATTATACTTCCCAGTGTGCACTACTTTGCGTTTATCAACACTGAATTCCACCTGCCACTTCCTTGCCCAGTCACCCAGGTCTGGGGGATCCCTTTGTAACTCTTCCCGGTCTGCTTTGGACTGAACGATCTTGAGTAACGGAGGAGCATCTGCAAACTTTGCCACCTCCCTGCCCACCCCCCATCTCCAGACCTTAGATTCAGACTTTAACCCGCTTTAAGAAATGTTTAATTTAAGTAGATTTCAAGGGAGTCAATACAGGGGCCGACTCTTGGCTCTCACCTGTCGCGCTGATGACAGTGACTGGCTGTTAGGCTCGGAAGTGCCAATATAAAGACGGGTTTCAGAGTAGCGGCCGTGTTAGTCTGTATTCGCAAAAAGAACAGGAGGCCTTGTGGCACCTTAGAGACTAACCCATTTATTTGAGCATGAGCTTTCCTGAGCTGCAGCTGCAAGGTGCCACAAGTCCTCCTTTTCTTAATCTAAAGAGCAGGAGACACGGCCCCTAACGAAGGCAGAACAACGTTTCTGGCAGAGCTGGATTCGGCTACCCGGGGCGGGGGGTTTACTTCCCCAGCCCGGATCACACCAGCCCACAGGCTTCCCCAGCCCGCCCCAGTAGTTACTGGCTGCAGCCGAGCCCGCCGCTCCCTCCTCGGCCCTGCCCAGCCGAGCCTGGGAGAGCCGCGTCTTCCGCCCTCCGGTGCAAACGCTCCTCGCTCAGGCAAGTGGCCCCGGCTCTGGGGCCGGCCAGGGAGGAGCGGCTGGGGAGGGGGCTTTTCCTTCAGCGAGAGCCCCCGGCATCTCGGGGGCCCGGGCCCGCCCCACGGGGCTCCCTCCCTCCGGCCCCCCCGAGGCTGGAGCCGCCCAGGGTGGGGGGCAGGGGCCGGAGCCCCGAGAGGCGCGTCCGCCCCCCCGCTACCTTGGGCCTCTTCGCCGCCGTCGCCATGCCCGGCCTCGGGGTGGGACAGAGCCGCGTCCGCAGCGCAGAAAACAGGCGGCGGCCGCCGCTTCCACGTGGTTCCCCAGCACCCGGGGCCGCCTTCCGGGCTGGGGCCGGCCACGCCCCCTCCGCTTACGGGGGCCGAGATGGGCCTGCCGCGGCAGGTTCCGCCCCCCCCAGGGGCTCCCTGGGGACTAGGGGGCGGGGCTGCCCCGTGACCCAGCAGGGAGCTGGCTGCAGTCTGGCGAGGGCCGGGGGCAGGGGCCAGGAGGGGTGACTGGGGGAATGGGGCCAGGCTCACCCACCCCCCCCCAATAAAGTGCAGCCCCAGGCCCTGGGGAGCAGGGTCATTCTGGCGGGACAAACCCTTCCAGTGCGGGGGTCTGTGGGGTCCGCGCGCAGGGCTCCCCTGGGAGGCGCCCTGAAAACAAAGGGCGCACAGTGCTTTGGGGAATGCAACTGGGGGCGGGGGGGTTATAAACACACCAGGTGGGATTTTCAAAAGGGACCAGTGATTGGGGGGAGGGGGGACAAGAGGTGCCTCAAAGGAGCCTGTTTCCAGAGGGCAGGTGGCTCAGCAGGGCCTGACTTGGGTGGCAAGTTGAACACCCAGAAATCAAGGCAGTCCAGCCACTGGTCCCATTGGAAACACTTGGCCTCAGTGTTCTGGTTTCAGAAGTTTCCAGCTGAATTAAAATTCAAACCCTTTGCTGCTGCTTTTTGCAGTAAGAAGGTGCCATTCCCACTGGTGAAGTGAGCTAAATCAGTTCTCAGAGGGGGTGGTTATGAGAGCAGCCCCATGGCCTTCCTGGGGTGGTGGCCCCACACTGTAGTCACTTCAACACTGACACTGTAAACCTTGTGCCCAAGTCATTGGTTTTCCCTTTTAGGAAGCGTTGTCAGACACACTGATTTGTAGCTCAGCTGGCTTAGCTTCAAACATTTAGCCAAAGGAAGCGGGTTGGGATGTTGGTGTCATTAATGGCTTTAAAGGGAGCCTCTGAGAATGCCTACAGGGTCGGGCCTGCAGGTGAAATAGGCAGGGGAATGCCTAGTTTGTGAATCCTACCAGAGCAATTCAGCAGTGGCAGGAATCATAGAATCATAGAATATCAGGGTTGGAAGGAACCTCAGAAGGTCATCTAGTCCAACCCCCTGCTCAAAGCAGGACCAATCCCCAATTTTTGCCCCAGATCCCAAATGGCCCCCACAAGGATTGAACTCACAACCCTGGGTTTAGCAGGCCAATGCTCAAACCACTGAGCTATCCCTCCCCCCCCCAAAAAAGCAGGACCAATCCCCAACTTTTGCCCCAGATCCCTAAATGGCCCCCTCAAGGATTGAACTCACAACCCTGGGTTTAGCAGGCCAATGCTCAAACCACTGAGCTATCCTGCTTAATGCAAGTTTGGCGGCTTTGCGCATGCCCACTGGCAGAAATGTAGGCACCTGCAGGGTTAGATAGGAGCTGAGCAGGGGTTTTGAGGAAGCCTGTGGAGGAGAGAACTGCAAAATCCCAGTGTGGCACCCTAACCACTGGCCCATCCTTCCTCTACCGGCCGACATTCCTTGGGAGGTGTCAGGTGGAGGACCTACTACAGAAGGCTGAAAGTCAGACACGAACTCAGTCTTCTAGTGACAGTAGGAGGAAGTAGCTCCTGGGCCATCCGTAAGGAATATACATACCTAAGAACTGTCCTACCGGTCTCTGCCCTGGCCTTTCAATCTAACGCGGGAGCTGGAAGATCCACAAACCCCATCACAAAAGGGTACAGTACAATAAGGCTACTGAGATCAAGGTTCCCAATCCCATTCAATCCCTTACAACACGCGCCCCACCCCCCCCGCTTTTATAGCGTACATGTAGCTAAAATACAAGCCTTATTCTGATCAAGCCCTTTTACAGGGAAGTTGATGACTAGACCACTCCCCAAAGCGCTCTGAAGGGATCCCCCTAGGGCAGACAGAGGAGAACAAGGTTTGCTGTTTGCTCTGAAGGGCTCCTAGCCAAACTCATTGCCAGTTTGGTTTGGGAGATACACAGGGAACAGGACGCATTTTCCCTCCTTTCGCTTCCCAACCCAACATGCCTGTGAAGGGCCGGATTCTGCTGCTGAGAATTCAGTGCCATTGATTTCCATGGAACCAGGATGAAGCCATATGTTAGAAAAGTGCCACAAGCTTTTTCTTTCTTTGTCTCTTGGGCCTCTTGAATCCCATCTGACCAGTCGAGATACTTCGCCAGAGTGGTTTACCTGCCCTCCAGTAATCACCCCCCCCACCGCATTTTGGTCCCTGGGGGAAGGTTAGTACCCCCCCCACACACACACACACACAAAGATATACATAATATTGATAGATACAAAAGTAGGAGCGTCTGCTAGGTTCTTCTTAACGTCTTTATTAATTTTCGACACAGTAACCCTTTCTACATCAACCATTTGTTGTTCCATTTTACATTTTTGTAGTCGTCTGTAAATACCACGGCATCGATGCAACTTTCTGAGCATCGACCATCTGAATGCACACAACTATGAGGATTCACCTCATACAGAAGTCTGAAATTCATTAAATTCCACCTTAACCAGGAAAAAAGAAAAAACTCAAAAACAAACCCAGAACAAAATTACAGCCAGAACACCTTAAATGTTAAAACCACACATTTGTTACCAGTTGCTACAAGAACGAAAGAAATAGGGGGAAAAATCCAATATATATATTATGTATAGGTATTTATATATATATTATCTGAAAGGACACACTAAAAAAACCAAGAAAAATTGCAGCAGTATCTACAGTAAAAAGAATTCCTACTAGCTTTCAAACATTCACATTTAATGTTCAGAAGGAAGCACACGGAAAAACAGAGTCTGGGACAAACTAATACACAACAGAGAGTTTCTAGAATGCTTGTGGTGATGTCATACCATTTAAAGGCAGTATGCGTGTGTGTGGCGTGTGTGTTCTGTATTTATCCGTGTGGTAAGCAGAGGTGAGAGACGCACACTCTCCTCGACAGCATAGAGACAGTGTGTCTGGAACACCACGGGATGTTTAATGCTGTCTCTCTTTATATCTCTAATAGAATTTCTTCTTGTTGCTAGTATGATCAGCTTTGGATCTGTTCCCTCCAGCACCTAGAGTGGCAAGCCAGGCAGCTGAGGAGCCCTGTAGGGACTGTGTGGTCACAAAGGACCAGAATGGAAGTTGGGTGGATCAAAGGGACTGGAGACCCAGCATCTGAGATGGTGAATGCTCAGTACCTTATTAACTGGCTCTGCAGCCCCCCAGTGCAGTGAGCTGGCATTCACCAGCTGAAATGGCACAGAATGCCACTGGTTGTGTTCCTCATGGACTTCGGTAGTCCCTTTGACTTCATCTTATGGTCCATTTCCCCCCTCGCTGGCCCAAGGGCAATACAACAGGAAGGGGAGGGTTCTCATCCTAACAGAGAAAATATGGCACTCCCATGTGGGCGTGGCTCATGCCTGGGCCCACTGGTTTGTGGCCTCCCTTGGCGACTCACTTTTGCCTGGGATATGGTGGAAGGAGATGGTGGCTAATCCCGGGAATGTGTAAGGTCAGCTCTTGTTTCTCTCCCTGCCCCCCAGGACTGGTGAAAAAGGAACAGTTCTATAACCATGCAGAGGAATTGCAAATGCTGGCTGTCTCCAGCTTATGCTGTGATGGGGTTTTGGGGCAGAGCCCCAGAGCCAGGTGACCCTGCGGGGCTAACATGAAGTTTAGGAAGCCCTTACATACAAAGTACATGATAACATAGCTCCCCTTTCCCCAGATGCCCTCCCAAGCACTCCTCACCCTCTGCATACAAGGCGCTGACAACCAAGGGAATCCCATTGACAGGTGAGACTAGGGAAATTTCCACTCCCAACGCACCAACTAGTAAACCCTGGAACAAACTGGCTAACAAGCCATTTACCAGATGGAATCAGAAATGCTCAGCTGCATGTCATGGGTCCTGTACTGCTAACAGCTCACAGAGATTCTCCTTTAGCTCAAGTGGGTAGGGCTGGGCTTTTGGAACAAGAGGATCTGTGTTCAGTTCCCCGCTGTCACCAGGACATTCTGAGCAGCCATGCAGCACAGAGACATGGATTTGTTACAATACAAATTCTCATCCTGTGCCCGAAACACTAGACCCAAACCACACTCAGCCCCAGATCCTCAGGACGGATCACAGACACGTAGGAACCTCACCAACTCAAAATGAATCGAGCCACAACACTGAGGAAGAACCAAGCCCTAGACAGACACTCAGCACGGTACGCCAAGTGACAAATGTGTCTGAGACAATGAGAATGGGGCATAGGGGGAGAGGTGTTGGCTCTGGGGGTTTCCAATGGGATTCCCACCAAAATCTGGGGAGCAAAACTCTTGACTGGCACAGACTAAAATATCCCTGTGAAAGGTGGTACCCACTTGCCCTGATTCCACTGCGCCAACCACAGAAACACTGGCACAAAGCCAAGAAACAAGGCCTCACACCTGCCTAGCAGTGGGCATAGGATGCAAAGTTCAAAGCCCAATTCACATAGACTAACAGTAAACAGAATAGACTGGGACAAATTACAGACTTAATTCAGCTAGTACTGGACACACAGTCAGAGGGAGAGAGACATTTCTGGAGTCCATGCCGCCTGCTTGTGGTACGCACACAACACCCAATGAAGTCACGTCCCAATCACGCAAAGATGCATCACCCATTCGCTAGAACTTAGCCCAGTTGTGGTAGGTGCTGTACAAACAACCTGGAAGATGCTTTTGTCCAGTGCTCAATTTGTGATGAAAGAGGTACCAGTGCTCAAGCAATGTTTTTACTTTCATATCGGAGGCGGCAAGCCCAGAAGTGCCGGGGCTCTGAACTGCCAAGCCTGGAGGTGCTGGGGATCAGCCCTGGCGAGCTCTGGCACAAATTAAGCACTGCTTTTGTCCCTTGGGCAGGCTATCCCCAGCACATGGCCTGTAAATACTACAGTTGTCCACCAACAGAGCACAAAACAGCAACAGAACAATAGCAGCTGCCCCGTGGGCCTTTGGACGCTCCTTATAGGTTCCTGGAGTGTTTGCTTCTAACAGCCTTTCTGGAGAGCAGAAACAGGCCTCACATTAAGGGAGGGAGAAAGACACCTGCACAGCCAGCAGCCCTGTCACGGACATTGCCACCACCTGCCGCTGCATAAATTTCCTCCATCCTCTAGCCCCAACATCCTGCCCCTGGCAGCACTGCCATGAGCCAGGACGGAGCTTTTCCCTTGTGAATCTTGGATCGGTGTGGGAGGGAGGGGGAGGCGCAGAGACCGCGGAGGAGTTTAGTCTGGTTTTGGTTACTGTCGTTGATTGTCCTTCTTGCAAAAAATAATTACGTGTGTGCACGAATCACAAACACACGCACAGGAACCCCAGGGCTCCGTACTGCCATGGAGCACCTGGGAGCTTAGTTTATAGCACTGGCTCATGCGCGACTATTGTTTCTAAATGCGTCTGGGGCAAATTTAAGATCCTGTGACTTGCGCGCTTTATTGGAACCAGAAAGGGCAGAGATCACTAGGTCTCATTTAGTGTAGGTATTTCTTGGGGCATGGTTATTTTTATTATATGGTTTTACAGCTCTCACCCCTGTGGCATTTGGGTGGTGTTGTCTTGTAGGGGAGGGGCTAATGCCCAGTCCTCATGACACATCACTTCCTGCCTTAAAACAATTCTACTTCCTGTTTTGGATGGACAGGCCAGAGGGCTAGGAAGGAAGGTCCCAGGGAGCCATTCTGCAGAGAAGCTACCTTTCGGATTGCTCTTTCCATGGCTAGGCAAATGCTTAGAGTTCAGCGTGACCGGGATTAAATCCCAGTGGGCAGCAACGTTTTAAAACCAGGATTTCTCAAGCCCTTTTTTGTTTCTTCCTCCCCATCTCCCATATTATCCCAAGGATGCATGGACCCGACCCTGGGTACTGCTACCCAGTGACACTCAACACCATAGAGTGTTTAACCTGTGTAAACGCTGTGTGGGTCTTTGTCCCCCCTCTAGTGGCCGAACCATTTATAGCAGGGTAGGAGTGTACTGTGGCTAACTGGGGTGGTCTTTTTAGCTCAAGTGGTAGGGACTCATGCTTTTAGCTCTTGGGGTCCTAGGTTCAATTCCCCAGGGGCAGGTCAATCGGAGAAAAAAGGACGGTGGCGATCACTGGAAGGGGGGGCCCATGCGACATTTAACTCTTAGCAGTTTATTTAAACAAACAAACCCAGATTGTTATGAACACCCCACCTCACGTGAAAGAATTGTGGTGAACCCTTCGGTGACTATGGACATTACGTGCTTGCTTGAGTTTTCCCGCCGTTGGCCAATTCGCTGACACTTCCCACGGGTGGACCTGAGGAAACCAAGCCTTTGGCTAACAAGCTACCGAAGTGGCTGGGCGGAGCCAACACCCATTGCCTCTGCCAAGGGCTTGTCTCAGGAGACTCTCCGAACCAACTGCACGGCAGAAACCTGCGGACCTGACCAGTGGAGAGACTTGTTACGGCTCGACTGACAACAAGATAACGTCACTAATTCAAAGTTGCAGCTATAGCTAGAGGTGGATTGAACCGTCGGTCTTACAATGGTGTTTCCCCGCTCCCCTTTTTTATGTAATATTAAAAGGAAAAAAAACCCCAACGAGAAAGAAAACGAAACCCCAACACGGTAACGGTTGGAAGCCGCACAGGATGGCCGTTTGGATGGTGACTCGATGCAGAACGATGCTAAATGTCTCCAGCGGAGGAGGAAGAGGAGGAGGAGGAGGAGACGGTGGAGGGACCAGAAACCTCAGCACGAAACCTCCATGGTGTGGTTGATCTGCCCCATGGCCTCGCTGCTTTCCGAGTGGGTGCAGGCCCGAGGGCGGCTGCCGTCCACCGAGCTGGCGCTGGTGAGGGAGGCAGTGCGGGAGCGGGCCAGGCGGGTCATGCTGGCTGAGGGCACTGGGAGGAGGGAGAAAAAGATGGGGTTAGGGATTGCACCCGGGGCCTGCAAGGAGGACTCAGGCAGACACGACACACAAGCAAAGCCAACACTGGTGAAGTCACGGGCTCTCCAGCCCGTCGAGTGAAGCGCCATTCTCCCAGCCTCTGCATACTGAGATGCCAGCTTCCAACTGCTCAAGCTTGAAGCATGCGGTGTTACAAGAGATGAGCTGCTACCGGCCTACGATGGAGGGCAGCAGGGGTCCATTAATCCATCTGTCACTGGGATGGAGTGGGAGGTGGGGAGACTCCTGCTGCTAAGCCCAGATACCTTTGGAGCGGTGCACTCTAGACTGTGTGGGAACAGACTATTGGAAGGGCTGCTCCCCAGCCTCCAGCAAGTCCCGGTGGGAGTTTGCAGGCGGAGGTTTTAACGTGTGATATTTTGCCCCTTCGGGCGGTCAGGTGTTCTAAAGACTTTGAGGATCTGGGCCTTAACACCCAACTGGTATGCTAGCTGGTCTGTGCACACAGAGCATCTGATATGGCCGTGAAAATCCCCACGCACACGAATGCTGGCATGCCATCGTGCACTCACGATGATCTGTGAAACATACCCCTCCTAGTGCAATGCACAAGGGGTGGTGACGTGTCTTGTGCCTTAAATACATGGGCTAAAGCAATGGGGTCTCAGCCTCCTGCACTGTTCCACACAGCTTTTCAATCACTGTGCGGGGCAATTTTGCCCTATAGGACGTATTATCCACAATGGGGACCCTGGGGGTTCTGCCTGGCACTGGGGGAGGGGAACACTGCCTTGGAGCTGCTCCCTACGGAGAGGGTATAATAGGGGAGACCGTTCTGTGCTAAATGGACATGGGAAATGGGATCCTTCCCGTCCCCATCCTGTGAGACTGGGACACACCACTGCTACTAGAACTCCCCCCAGAGCAGAGGTCAGGAAGGAGACACCCCCCAGCAGCAATGAACTAGTCCAGCTACATTTTGTGAATGCGGCTTATTCCCAAGGGATGTGGCAGTAAGAGCCAAAGTGGGATGGAAGCCACATTCACCCACTTGTGCTGTTCGTCTACACCTGGGGGCCACGAAAGTAGGCTGGTCTCTCTTGGGCTCTCATGCACTAGCCCACTGCTGGATTTCAGAGTCACAACCCCACGGGGGAAGCTGTAAGCCCACCGCTCCCCCAACATCTGACCGGCACTCTTATGCCGTGATGCTGCCCTGGGATTCCCATCTGCATCAGGTTTGAAAAGACTCTACATGTGCGGCCAAGAAGAGCAGCTAATTATTCTCATGGTGGTGTTTCCGCAGTCCCCAGCGCACCATCCGGTGGGCTCTGAATGCACTTTACCAGGACAGGACATCCCTAAATCTTCCCTGAAATAGGAGGCATGTTCTCCAGGACCCCCTGCAGCAGCTGAGCCAGCGTCCTGGGCCCCAGAGGAGCCAGGAGGCAAAAGACCCAATTCAGTGCAGCAGAGCCGGGGGAGGAGATCATCCGAGAACTAGTTACGATTCGGTGATTCGCTGCTCCAGTCCCGGCCTTTAGAGCAGCCAAGGGGTCTCCTCCCTGGTTTGGGGTCCCAGGTTAAGCAGCCTTCTCCTGCCTCCCTGGGAGGGGATGGAGAAGTGGCACAGGAATGGTCCCAGGCCACAGGAATCATCCCCTCCCCTCCCCACTAACACCTCTCCAGCCTTTCCAAGCAGCTCAGGGCGGGTGTCGGGTAGGCAAGCAAGGGGCTCTCGGAAGTGAGGGGCAGCAGCCCTGGGACCCCTAGAGCCAGGCTGCTTCTCCAACCTAGGTGGGGGCCGCAGAGCAGCTGGTACCCAGCAGGGGAAACATGTAGCAGCCCTGAGCTGTCCCAGCCACACTCCCATCCTCACCACCAACACGCACAATCCACAGCTGGCCGCTAGCCCCGGCGAACAGAGCACCCAGCGGCACAAGGTGCCACCGCAGCACCAGCCACTCACTGGCGGCCAACAGCAGGAGTGGAGGATGCCGATGCCCAGCTGCGGGTAGAGATCCCAAGGGGTCGGATTCCAAGCAGGGAGGGTGCTCCCCACCCTGCCTGCCCCAAGCAGCTATTCCCCCGCCTCTCCTGCACCCGAAGCCTAGTCCCGTCCCCATCCCTGACTTGGCCTCTTTCACAGCTTGCCGGAGACTTTTTCACTCTGGGAAGCCTCTTTCTGCCACCGCTCCTCTCCTGGAGAGGGCGGGGCTGGGGGTGGGCACTGGAACACAGCCCCCCCCCGCAGCAATGCATATGGAGCTGGGGGACGGGGGCGCATGCAGCGGATGGGGAGGAGGGTGAGCAGCAGTGACGGGGGTACCTGCTCCTCCACTCAGCCTCCGATCCTTCAAGTATGCAACTAAGGGAGAGACAGAGAGCAAGGGGGGTGGGAGGGGGCGGGGAGACAAGAGACGTTGGGAGAGAAAGAGAGCGTCAGCATTCGATCTGCCCCAAAAACCAAACAACTGGGATGGCAACCACAAAACGGAGAGAGTGGGAGGGAGAGAGACAGATGGCAGGAAGGATTACACACACACACACACACACACCCCATCTATACGCCCCCCCACACCCCCCATCTACACACACACACACACACACCCCTGTCTACACACACACCCCGTCTACACACACAGACCCTGTCTCTACGCACCCACCCACCCAGAGTCTACACAGACACACACAAACCCTGTCTCTATCCTCACACACACACAGAGTCTCCACACACCCCATCTACACACCCACACCTCCGTCTCCACCCCCCCACCCCATCTCTACCCCCCCCACAGTCTACACAGACACACACACACTCTGTCTATACCTCCCCACAAACACACCTATCCCCCGTCTATACACTCCCCCAACTACACCCCCTATCTATACTCACACACACTCACTCTCTCCTGGGGGCTAGCCCAGTGATCTGTACAAGGCAAGGCAAGTCGCAATCTGACCGGACAACGCTCACCCCCCACCTCTCTGCCCGTCTCACAGAACCATCAACGGGACCGCACGGGTCTAATGAAGCGATGCTGGTTCCTGGCCACCCCCTGGAGACCCCAGAGCAGCCAAGGCCTGAGAGAGCAGAGGGGTCAGGGGAATCTCAGCTCAGTCCCATCCCCCTCCATTCCCCCACTGTGGAATCACAGCTGGCTCGGACACCTCCCAGTGCCAGGCCGGGTCCTGCCCTTCCCCTGGTGCACAGGCCCCTTCGTCCTGCTCGAAGGTGGCAGCAGTGTTGATGGCGAGGGGGGGGGCTGGGCAGGCCCCCTCGCCGCATTCCCACACTGTGCGCACTGCTTTGCAAGGAAGTTCAGATGGCCTTTGCTGTGGGGCCTGATCCTGAGGTGCCCGCAGCTCCCACCAGCCAGTGGGTGCTCAGCACCCAGGGAGACCAGGCACCTTGGGCTGGGACTGGCTTTTTAAGGGCCAAGGGCTCTCTGCCTGCCTCCCTCCAAGGGGCAACCTGCCGCCTCTGTCCCTGCAGAGCCGAGCCACGCTAATTAATCTGCAAAGAGCAGGGACTGAGCATGGAGCCCAGAGAGCCCGTGGGGAGACAGCCAGGTTGTCTCACTGATCTGTGGTTTTCACACGCACCTCCTGAGTGCCGAAAACCAACTCAGTTCTCCCCCTCCTGGGTTCCCTGGGCCCAGGGGCCTGGCGGGGGCTTCTGGCCCAGGGCACATGCTCACACCATGGGCAGTGACTACACAGGCAGGGCAGGGGGTACCGTGCCATGGGGGCAGAGCGCTGGCATGCCGGGGGCTCCGGGCACTGCACCGTGCCAGGCTGAGTCGCAGAGATGGGTACCCCACCACGCCCCGGTGGGCATGTGCCCATCCACCCAACCTGTGCCCTTACACACACACAGTGCCGTGCGAAAGACAACTTCACGCACCGGCATGGATACACGCCTACCTACACACCTGCATGCACGAACATTTACACACACACACACACACCCCCGCATGTGTAGGGCACATTCCCACCACCCTACGCACACCTGTCCCCCCAGCCATATCCACACTCACACCCACACACACCTGGCACCTGCACTTACTGTAACCCATCCCTTGCAGGAAGTACTTAAAGGCTTCGGTCAGTTTTCCAGGCTGTTGGAGGGGAAGAGAGGAAAAACAAGGCTGAAAGGGCGGGAGGAGATGCTGGCTGCTGCTGGCTCGCTCAGCAGGGAGGGGCTGCTGGGACACAGACTGCAGCCCTCCCTCACCAAACCCAAGAGGCCAAGAGACCCCATCCCCGGCAGCCCCTTCCCAGGCCATGAGGAGACTGGGGGGGTGGATTTCCCCCTCTCCTGGGCAGCGGTGATGCCCCCGCCCCCGGGGCTGGCCTGACTGTAGCAAAGCAGCCAGGTGGACTCTGCACGTGCCCCTCCCCCACTATTAGACAGGGCCAGGGGCCACCCCAAGCCCCCATGGGAGCAGAGCAGAGTGGGGGCCTCCGCAGGGCCTGGGCAGAGCAGCGGGGGCAGCTCACCGAGCCCCTGGGGCAGGGATCCCACCGCCCCCTCCAGCCACACGCAGACACACCTCTGCCTGCTGCTCCAGCACAGAGCCAGGGTGGCGTGGAGCTGAGGACCGGGGTGGGGGAAGGGAGGAGAAAGAGCCAGGGTCGGGGGCTGGAGGACTCACCTGTGTGACTTGTGGGAGCCCCCCAGAGTCGGCCATCTGGAGGGGAAAAACAGAACTCTGTTAGTGGAGGGCCCTGGGGACAACTACCGGCGCCCTGGCTCAGAGCCCAGCCCACCTGCTGCATGGACATTTCGGTGGCTGCTGGGGCAGTCTGCAGGGACCCTCTTCCAACCTGCCAGCACCTCAGCCCAGCTGGCTGCGCAGGGGGAATCCAGCAAGGTGGACATGGGCGCTCAGGAGTGGTGGGGGTGCCCAAAGAGCCCTTTCCCTGCTGGAATGCCCCTGGTCACCTGCGGGCGGGGGACAGGCCACAGGGACGCGGCGCGGGCCATTTATTGCAGGCCACTCCTGGGAGAGGCCAGCCCTGCCCATGGAGGGACAGCTAGTAATTCCTACTACCCGAGTCTAAGCTAGCAGAGCTGTTGGGGGAGGAGTGTGCAGGAGAGGTTTGGCATAACGGTGGGGGGTGGGAGGAGCTGCAATGCAGGATCGAGGGGTGTTGGCAGAGCTGGTGGGCGGCCAGGGCTGGTGTAGCGGGAGGACTCCAGGGCAGGATTAAGGGGCATTGGCAGAGCTGGGGGGGCACCAGGGCTGGTGTAGCGGGAGGACTCCAGGGCAGGATTAAGGGGCCCCCATTGGCAGAGCTGGGGGGGGCCAGGGCTGGTGTAGTGGGAGGACTCCAGAGCAGGATTAAGGGGCATTGGCAGAGCTGGGGGGGGGCCAGGGCTGGTGTAGTGGGAGGACTCCAGGGCAGGATTAAGGGGCCCCCATTGGCAGAGCTGGTGGGCGGCCAGGGCTGGTGTAGCGGGAGGACTCCAGGGCAGGATTAAGGGGCCCCCATTGGCAGAGCTGGGGGGGGGGGCAGGGCTGGTGTAGCGGGAGGACTCCAGGGCAGGATTAAGGGGTCCCCATTGGCAGAGCTGGTGGGGGGCACCAGGGCTGGTGTAGCGGGAGGACTCCAGGGCAGGATTAAGGGGCATTGGCAGAGCTGGGGGGGGCCACCAGGGCTGGTGTAGTGGGAGGACTCCAGGGCAGGATTAAGGGGCCCCCATTGGCAGAGCTGGTGGGGGGCCAGGGCTGGTGTAGCGGGAGGACTCCAGGGCAGGATTAAGGGGCCCCCATTGGCAGAGCTGGGGGGGCACTAGGGCTGGTGTAGCAGGAGGACTCCAGGGCAGGATTAAGGGGCATTGGCAGAGCTGGGGGGGGGCAGGGCTGGTGTAGCGGGAGGACTCCAGGGCAAGATTAAGGGGCCCCCATTGGCAGAGCTGGGGGGGCACCAGGGCTGGTGTAGCGGGAGGACTCCAGGGCAGGATTAAGGGGCCCCCATTGGCAGAGCTGGGGGGGCAGGGCTGGTGTAGCGGGAGGACTCCAGGGCAGGATTAAGGGGTCCCCATTGGCAGAGCTGGTGGGGGGCACCAGGGCTGGTGTAGCGGGAGGACTCCAGGGCAGTATTAAGGGGCCCCCATTGGCAGAGCCGGGGGAGGCGGGATTCGGGAAAGGAATAGCGGGGGGGCCAAGAGGCATGGGCAGAACTCTGAGGGAGAAGTCTGCACCACTCTCAGCCCTGACTGGCGGCCAGCCCCCCACGCAGTGGGAGGTGGCTGGCGGATCCAGCTTACCTTCAAGAATGTGGTGGTGACTGGATCCAGCTTGGAGTTACACTCCACCTGTCAAGGAGAAGAGAGAGGTTTAGGATGGTCAGAGAGCAGCGTGCCGGGGATGCCTGCCACACCTCCATGGCATGCGTTTTTAACCACTGGAACAATTTACCAGGGGTCGTGGTGGAGTCTCCAGCACTGGCAACTTTAAATCAAGATTGGCTGGTTTTCTAAAGGATCTGCTCTGGGAATTACGTTGGGGAAGGTCTCTGGCCTTGGGATCTATGAATTGAAGGGTGCCCCACCCTCTGACTCTGTCCCAGACAGGCCTCCCTCTCCATGCGCCCAGAGCTAATTCTCCTTTATGGGTCAAGAAAGCAAGACACAGAGAACCAGAAAGTAGCTGAGGGATTCCTCATTTGGCCCCGTGGCTGCAGCATGCACTATCCGCTCCATGCCAGGTGGGGCTCAGCTCGGGGTGAATCTGGGATGCAGGCAAAGGCTGGGACTTGGAGAGAAAAAGTGCCCTGCAGGGTGGGGCACTGGCCCCCCAGTGTCCGTAGGGAAGGATTGACTTACTGTGTCTGCCCGGAATGGAGAGAGAGCAGGGGGCAGAGAAGGGAAAGTGGCAGGGATGGGGGCATGCAGAGGTGCTGGGGGAGAAACCCGGTGGAAAACGGGAATTTGTTCTGCAAAAACCCGGGAGAGCGGGGAGAAGAGAAAGAGAGACATGCTGAGAGAGAGGGAGAAGAAAGGGACATACAGCAAAGGAAAAAGAAAATCAAAATGTCAACACATTTTGTTTTTCAACCCGCTCGAGAAGAAACCGACTCTCAGGGAGTGAGGACAGGAGAAAGCGCTCAATGGAGAAAAGAGAGTGGGGGTGCAGCAGGGGGAGAGAATCTGGATTCCTGCCTTAGTCTGGGGAGCCAGTTTAAATCCCCCTAGCATGAAGGCTGGTGTATTGGAACAGCCTGAAAGTGGCACAGGATGCCGAGGGCAGGACACGACAGTGCCCTAGGAATGCCCGCTCCTGCTAGGGGGAGAAGTAGGCAGCATGGGGTTTAACCCTTTACTCACCACCCCATCTTCAGCAGGAGCATTGTCCCCCACCACCAGCATGACCGGGCAGCTGGAAACACCAAGAGGAGGAGAGTGGTCAGGGGCTTGGTCTTTAACACCCGGTTGCAATTCAGCCCCACTGGGACCAGTGTGTGACTTACCGAAGTGTTTTGGCATTGGGGACAGTCCCAGGCCGGTTAATGTCCAGGTCTCTGCGGCTGAGGGGGAGAGAGTGGGGCCAGAGGTTAGTGCCCCAGAGCAAAATGGCAGACCTCCCAGAATACCCATAGGCAAAGCACGCCAGCAGCTTCTCCGGCCTGAAAGCTTCTCTCCATCCAGACAGGGGAGGGTCATGGATGGAGGTGCAAGAGGGCAGCAGAACCCAGCCCAACCCATGGAAATGTGGAGTGATGGTCTCCGAACTCCAGCACATATCACAACGGCAAAGTCTTGGCACGAGCACTAAGTTCCCCGAACCCAGTGTCAGAGGGGTTAATGAGACACTTGGCCGTCTTCCTCTTACCCTTGCAACCATGCGTACCCCACGTGGCCCCAGGCCTGCAGGAGGGCCAACCCACTTGCCTGACTCCCGCTGCCCAGAATGGGCCTGACCGGTTTGGCCCACCCCCCTGCCCAAAGCAGGGCTGGATCGCACACCCCTCCATTCCTCAGCCCAGAGCACAGAATCACAGAAGTGTGGGCCTGGAAGGGACCTCAGCAGGGCATCTAGCCCAGTCCCCTGCACTCAAGGCAGGACGACATAATAACTAGACCATCCCTGACAGGTGTTTGTCTAACCTGTTCTTAAAAACTCCAGTGATGGAGATTCCACAACCTCCCTAGGCAATTTATTCCGGTGCTTAACCACTCTGACAGTTAGGAAGTTTTTCCTAATGTCCAACCTAAACTTCCCTTGCTGCAATTTAAGCCCATTGCTTCCTGTCCTATCCTCAGAGGTTAACAAGAATTTTTTTTTCCCTCCTCCTTGTAACAGCCTTTTATGTACTTGAAAACTGTTATGTCCCCTCTCAGTCTTCTCTTCTCCAGACTAAACAAACCCAATTCTTTCAACCTTCCCTCATAGGTCATGTTTTCTAGACCTTTCATCATTTTTGTTGTTCTTCTCTGGACTTTCTCCAATTTGTCCATATCCTTCCTGAAATGTGGCGCCCAGAACTGGACACAATACTCTAGTTGAGGCCTAATCAGAGCGGAGTAGAGCGGAAGAATTACTCCTCGTGTCTTGCTTACAACACTCCTGCTAATACATCCCAGAATGATGTTCCCTTTTTTTGCAACAGTGTTACACTGTTGACTCATATTTAGCTTGTGATCCACTATGACCCCCAGATCCCTTTTCACAATATTCCTTCCTAGGCAGTCATCTCCCATTTTGAATGTGTGCAACCGATTGTTCCTTCCTAAGTGGAGGACTTTGCATTTGTCCTTATTGAATTTCATCCTGTTTACTTCAGACCATTTCTCCAGTTTCTCCAGATCGTTCTGAATTTTAATCCTATCTTCCAAAGCACTTGCAACCTCCCATCTTGGTATCGGCCGCAAACTTTTTAAGTGTTCTCTCAATGCCATTATTTAAATCATTGAACAGAACCAGAACCAGAACTGATCCCTGTGGGACCCCACTTGTTATGCCCTTCCAACTTGACTGTGAACCACTGATAACTACTCTCTGGGAAGGGTTTTCCAACCAGTTCTGCATCCACCTTATAGTAGCGCATCTGGGTTATATTTCCCTAGTTTGTTTATGAGAAAGTCATGCAAGACAGTATCAAACGCCTTACTAAAGTCAAGATATACCACATTTACCACTTCCCCCCCCACATCCACAAGGCTTGTTACCCTGTCAAAAACAGCATTTATGTTGGTTTGACATGATTTGTTCTTGAGAAATCCATGCTGACTGTAACTTATCACCTTCTAGGTGTTTGCAGATTGATTGCTTGATTATTTGTCCCATTATCTTTCCAGGTACAGAAGTTAAGCTGACTGGTCTGTAATTCCTCGGGTTGTCCTTATTCCCCCTTTTTATAGGTGGGCACTATATTTGCCCTTTTCCAGTCTGCTGGAATCTCTCCCGTCTTCCATGAGTTTTTGGAGATAATCGCTGATGGCTCAGTTATCGCCTCAGTCAGCTTCTGGAGTATTCTGGGATGCATTTCATCAGGCCCTGGTGACTTGAAGACATCTAACTTGTCTAAGTAACTTTTAACTTGTTCTTTGCCTATTTTAGCCTCAGATTCTACTTCACTTTCACTGGCACTAACTATGTTAGACGTCCAATCGCTACTACCCTTTTTGGTGAAAACAAACAAAAAAGGCATTTAGCACTTTCATTATTTCCACATTTTCTGTTATTGTTCCTCTCCCCTCCTCATTGAGTAATGGGCCTGCCCTGTCCTTGGTCTTCCTCTTGCTTCTAACGTATTTGTAGAATGTTTTCTTGTTACCTTTTAGGTCTCCACCTAGCTTAATCTTGTTTTGTGCCTTGACCTTTCTAATTATGTCTCTACATGCTTGTTGTTGTTTGTTTGTATTCATCCTTCATAATTTGACATAGTTTCCATTTTTTGTAGGACTCTTTTTTGAGTTTCAGCTTACTGAAGGTCTGGTTAGGCCAGGGTGGTCTCTGACCAGAGTTCCCGTCTCTTCTATGCAGGGGGATAGTTTCCTCTTGTGCCCTTAATAATGTCTCCTTAAAAAATTGCCAATAACTGATTTTCCCTTTCGACTTGCTTCCCATGGCTCTTGCCATCTTACTCCCTGAGTTTGCTGAAGTCTGCTTCTTGAAATCCATTGTCTTTATTGGGCTGTTTTCCCTCCTACCATTCCTTAGAATCATGCACTCTACCATTTCACCATCATTTTCACCCAAGTTGCCTTCCACTTTCCCATTCTTAACCGGTTCCTCCCTACTTGTCAAAATCAAATCTAGATCAGCCTCTCCCCCGGTGGCTGTCTCCACCTTCTGAAATAAAAAATGGTCTCCGGTGCATTCCTAGAACATGTTGGATAATCTGTGCCCTGCTGGGTTATTTTCCCAACAGATGTCTCGGGAGTTGAAGTCCCCCAACACCACCAAGTCCTGGGCTTTGGACGATTTTGTTAGTTGTTTAAAAAAAGCCTCACCCATCTCTTCTTCCTGGTTAGATGGGCTCTCGTAGATTCCAGCCATAACCCATCACTCTTGTTTGCACCCTACCCCTATGTCCCACTGCCCAGAGAGGGGCCAGCCCACATGCCCCCACCACCCCACTGCTCGCAGCATGGCCCGTGTGCCCCACTGGCCCCAGGCCAGAGAGGGGCCAGCCTTCATGCCCCCACTACTCCCTAGCCCGAAGCAGGCCTGGTCCGCATCATGCCTCCCACCACCCCCTGCCTGGAGCATGGCTTACCTGGGTGTCGCAACTACCCGCCCTGCCCAGAGTGGGGCCAGCCAGCACACCACACCACTCCCCTGCCAGAGTGTGACCTATCCATGTGCCCCATTGCTCCCCTGCCCAGACTGGAGCTAGCCCATACCCCTGCCACCCCACCTGCCCAGAGCAGGGCTGGATCACATGCCCCACTACTCCCCTGCTGGGAGCATGGCCAATCTGTGTGCCCCACTGCCCAAAGCACACGAGTGCAGTGACAGCCTCCCTGCAGGACCTCAGGCACCACGTTCGCCATTTGTTCCCGTCAAAGCTGGATTTTCGGTGGTGCTTGACCCAGCTGTAATTTGATTCCCACCCCAACAGCCCCTAAGCAACGGGGGTGCCCAGCTCAGGACCTGCCTCTCAGAGACAAAGAACCCCACTCCGGCCACGGTCCCGTGGGTGGTGGCCAAGCTAGAAAGGCCAGACATGCTGCGGGCTATTTCCCATGCCTCTGGCTGCCGTTCACCAAAGGCCTGTGTCTGTGAGGGTGCTGGGTGCGAATCCTGATCTGGAGCCTGACTGGGGGCAACATGACACGTACCACCCCAGCTCTCAGAGGGTGGCCTCCTGCACCTCGTCCCCAGGGGGCCCGGAAGCAGCAGGGCTCTATGACTACCCGCATGGGGTCTCCTGCTCCTTGACCAATGAACTGCATCCAATGGTCTTGGGCTCTTGGTGGCACCAGGGGCATCCTCAGCTCTGCTGCTTGCCAACTCCAAAAGCTGCCACCCAGGCAGATGGAGCAGAGATCTCCCTCCCATTCCCACCGGTGCCGTGCCACCCTGCCCCACCCATGCCCCAGCTAACAATGGCCATTAGCTACGAGGCACAAGAGGGTCACCCCGTGAGGCACCCACCCTCTGCTGGGTCTGCATGTGAAAGGCCAACGGCGGCCGCACAGACCCCCCAGCCAGCTGGAAGAGATTCCACCGCACCACAGAGGATCTGCATCTGGCCAAAGGTGCCAGCTCCCTTGTGCTCTTCAGCCCATGACGCCAGAGATAACCCCTCCCGGGTGGTACAGTCTGCCCCAGGTGGAGACATGTGCCACTGCGGAGAGGTGAGGGGGGCAGTTACCTGTTGTACATGTTCCAGAACAGCTGCAAGTTGTATTGGTTCACCACACTCCCGATCTGCTGTCGATAGCTCTGCACCAGCTCCGTGTTGCTCACCAGCTCTTCCTGAGCAGGAGGGGCGAGAGAAACGAGAGATCAGCTGGCCCGTGGCAGGGAGGAAGGGCTCGGCTTGTGTTGTATGGAGGGACAGGCTACCGGGGCATGGGGACTGATCTGAGTGCAACGGAGGAAAAAGACCCAGTTTCCCCCAGGATCACCCTGCGGGGGCTAAGTCTTAGCCACTCAGCCTGCAGAGCATTCACACCCTGCAGGGCTGTATTTGAGGGAGGGGAGTGCTCGTAACGAACTCCCGAGATTGGCCTCTGGCTGCCACCAGGAGAGGGACTGAAGCTGCAGACCTGGGATCTGGAGTCTGAACATCGCACAGTACCTGGGTCCAGGACAGGGGTTCAGCCCGCTCTAAAGGTGACGCCACTTGAGACACTGGGAGTCAGATCTGGCTTCAGTTTTCCAAGAGTTGGGGCTGGCTCCCAGGGACTGGTTCTGACCCATCCCGCTAACTAGTTTGTGCTGAAGAGGCTGCAGTCTGGGAGAGGGGTGCTGGCCAGAGGAGCAGAGCATGCATCACTGTGGGCTGTAGGGCCCTCCAGCACTGCATCCTGGGGCAGACACCCCACGTTGTGCCCTACAAATCCAGTTGTCTCCCCTCCTATACATCCTGGGCACAGGCGGGCAAAGCACTCACAACTGCGCTCTCTTCGGGGGCCTGCATCTCAAGCCAGCTCTCCTTCCCCATGCATAGCCCAGCTACAGACAGGACCAGAGAGGGAGGCATCTCTTGGCCTGTTCTTCCCCCATACAGCAGCATGGCCAGGAGACAGCAGAGCAGCCCCAGTTGCTGATCCAGTCCAGCCGGTAGCTGGCTGACTCTCTGTCTGGATTGTACACTGCCCCTTTCTCCACCAGAGTCTGATCTGAGCAGGGCAGCTATGAACGTGTCCAGTGCTCTCCCCCTTACCTGGCTGAACAGGTGAGATAACACTGTGTCAGGCAAAGAGCTGGTCAGGCCAGAGAGCTGCGGACAGAGAACGCTAGAAGTGTTACGCTGACTGGCGCCAGGCACCACGCACTCCCACCCCTGCACCTTCGCCATGGGATCCCTCCTCGCGACGTTAACTGGAGACAGGCAGGCGTCACTGGAGCCAGAGCCCAGAACCTGTTGAGCCAGCGGGGAAGAGCAACAGGTGCTCTGGCTCGGACCAATCGGAGCAGAAAGAAAAGAAGAGGAGTCGGAGACCATCCCCTGTCTCTGGGGAGCCTGCTGTAGACCAGGGCTGGGTCAGGGAAGAGCCCGATGATGGTATCTGCTGTGAGGTGATCACCCATGCCTGGAGCTTCTGCACCCTGGACTACCCAGGTCCATGTACCCCGAGGGCTGATCTTCTTGGGGATACTGACTTCTTTAACCCCTAGAGCAGTGGTCCCCAAACTTTTTGGTCTATGCCCCCCCCTTACCTGGTCCATGCCCTCCCAGGAGCCATGGTCGGGGGCCACAGCCAGAAGCGGGGCCCTAGTCAGGGCTAGGGGCTATGGTTGGGAGTGGGGTCAGTGCTGCAGCTGGGGCATTGGCCAGGAGCAGGGCCGCAGTCAGGGCTGGGAGCCAGCGGCCGCATCCAGGAGCAGGCCTGCGATCGGGGCCGGGAGCCAGGGGCTGCAGCCAGAAGCAGGGCTGGGAGCTATGGCTGGGAGTGGGCCTGGGCCAGCTGGTGGCTGAGGCCAAGGCCGGACCTGCAGCTGGGGCTGGGGGCAGGGCCGGAGTGGAGCTGGGGCCAGAGCGGGACTGGGTGGCGCTCCCTCCCTGCCCCCAGTCAGGGCCGGCTGGGTTCTGCCGCACACTCCCCCCAGGGGGGCACTGCCCTAGGGGAAGCAGGCACAGTCCCTGTACAGTACCAGGGCAGCTCCATGGGTGGATTTTCAGGCAGGATTTGGCCACAGGAGACTATTTTAAACTCAACAATCCATGTTATTCCTTCCCTGCTCCCTCCTCTCCTAAGCACAGAGGCCTCAGTCAAGGCCATGCCTGAGGAAGGCACGGTGTGGTGAGACCAGGCAACACGGGCTGTGATTAGCCTTCAAGCTGGGGAGCCAGACAGAACCACAGGGTCTGTCTGTGTCCAGCGGCCTCATTAACGAATTCCCTTTATATTCATTACAGCCGAACCCCGGCTATCCTGTGCCCCAGGAGACCCTGCCAGTGCCTACGCCCGCTCCAAGTGATTTCATCCCAGTGCATCCCAGCTGGAGCCTGAGAGGTGGACGCTGCTCACCTTGGTGGCTGCCCAGTCAATCCAGCCTTTGCCGTTGGGGTCGATGTTCATCAGGACGAGCCCTTCCACCAGATCTGGGAAGATCAGCTGCAGGCAAGCAGACACAGGGCTATTGCTCACGGCACTGGTGCGATAGGAGAGGCCTATGCTGGGGGGGCAGTTAGCAGATGTGTGGATTCACCATAGGTGGAGATCCTTTACTGACAGTGACGCACTTCTCCAGGGGCAAGGGATGGGTAGGAGACCACGTCCTCGGATGGACCCTCCCACCACCTTCCGACATGAAACAGGCCAACCAGTGCCAACGAGGTAAAGGCTTTGCACACCACTGCTCTGCACCTCTGCCCACGGAGAATCTACAACAAGGCTGCCAGGATCCCTCCCAGCCAGGCTTGGGAGCAGGGCATGGTCCAGAGATGGCTCTGGTGGATAACTGCCCCCACCGCCAGACAAGGGGAGGGCATCCACGTTCACCCTGCTGCACCTCCCTGCATTCTTTACACCAAGGAACTGCAGGGATAGAAGGAACTGCCCTGAAATGGCAGAGGCCCTTCCTGTCGGCCTGAACCCAGAGGGCTGTCACAGGCAGCTCCAGGACGCAGCCCCAGATGGTCCAAGCCTCTCGTCCATGTGACTCATAAGAGCCTACAGGATACGCCCAGGACTATGGCTCCCAAACATCAAACGTGAACAGCACCATCTCCTAGCTCTCTCAACGCTCAGCCAAAATCACCAGCCAGATGAAGAACAGCTGGCTAAAGCCAAGCTCTGGCTGGTCAGATGCGGGACGCACTTTGAAGCACTTGTCTCCTCTCTCAGATCCCCGACTTCTCAGAGAATCTGGTACCCCAAGGCTATGGGCTGACATTGTTGGGGGCTCCTCAATGCTACTGGATACCCAAATAGCCACAGTGGCAAAATACACCTGCTTTGATTGGCCAGGAAGTTGTATTCCAGCCTATCAGAAACAGCCATGGCCACAGTGATCCACACATTGATGACCTCCTTTCAGGCTTGATTACTGCAACTCCTTCCATCCAGGAATGAGCCCCACACCCTGAGAAAGCTCCCGCTGGTGCAAATGGAGCAGCCTGACTTGCTGCCTGAGAGATCAGCTCTCCCTCTGCCCCGTGACCTCTCTTGGAAGTGGGTCACACCTGCCCTGCTCTATGGGATCCTGGGTCACTCTGCAGAACGCTCCCAGCCAGGGCTCACTTACAGCAAACTTGGCCAGGACATAGGCTCCTGCTCCCACGCCGATTCCGATCACGTACTTGAACCTGAGAAACAGAGACAGAAGTGTCCCTGTGCAGCTCCCAATAGCCCTTGCTAGGCCAGTCTGGCTTTTTAAGGAGCCTCTAGGCAGGGCACAGGGAGCAGCAGAGAGAGAGGGAAACGGGGCCAAGGCAAGAGGCGGCGGTACCTGGGAGATCTTCCCACAGGGCCCTGGCTGGGTCTCCACATAAAATCATAGACTCTCAGGGTTGGGAAGGACCTCAGGAGGTCATCTAGTCCAACCCCCTGCTCAAAGCAGGACCAATCCCCACTGTTTGCTCTAGATCCCTAAATGGCCCCCTCAAGGACTGAACTCACAACCCTGGGTTTAGCAGGCCAATGCTCAAACCACTGAGCTCTCCCTCCCCTGACATCCTGGGCTCCTTTCCTGGCTCTCAAGCCCTGGTCAAACAGAGTTCCTTGTAGCCTATAGGAATTGGGTAGTGTCCCTTTAAATAGGTCGGGAGCCCTCTAAGAGTGCTCACCATGTTCTGTGGTTTAGAAGCCGCCAGAAACAGCTGTACACTACATTTCTCCTCTTCTGTGAGTAAACCTGCCCCCATCTTCCCTCTCTCACTTTAAGGGCAGCATCTGATAAATCAAGGCCAGACTGGTAGGGAATATGAGCATCCTGTGGCTGTCACCAGGCTGTCGTCCTGAGCCACGAAATCCAGCCTGGGGGCTGGCACCACACCTCGGGGCTAGAAGGCTGCTACCCACGGAACCTGGCCAACTGCCATGCTAACCCCCTCACACACGTGGCCCTGAGCTGCCGGTGAGACGGGAGTTCAGGCCCCTTGGCGTATTCCCTGATGAGTGGGGCCCTGAAGGAAGCCAGCTAGAGCCAGACATCAGGGTGGCTTTGGTGAGGACTGGAGACCTCCCAACTTGTTCACCACAGGGCATCGATCAGCTGCTTACTACTGACTTGGGCTGGATTCAGACCCCTGGGCCAGACGGGACAGGCCCTGGGGTGCATTTCTAGGCTCCTGAAACGGAGAAAGCAGCTTCCCTTATTCCGTGCCGCGAAGGTGACGGCACAAACCACGAGCAGGGGACAAAGGGCGAGAGTCTCTTGTGACCCTGGTCTAAGCAGTGACTCCGTGGCAAACGGAGTCTGTCGCGCACCACGTGGCTCTCCCACGGCGTGGAGGGGATTGACCTGTCTCACTGGGGGTCGCCGAGCCATGGCCGAAGAGCTGACTGTTTCCAGCGCCAGCCAAGTGGACAAGGCAGGAGAGCAGGGAACAAGCTGTGAGGCCTGGAACCCCGAGTTACCTGGTGTTCGTAGGTCAGTCTCGGCACTAACAGTGTGCATTGCAGGCATGGGTGCTTCGATCCCTGTTTTTCAGCCAGGCCCAACCCTGCATCGCTTGTGCATCCCAAACGCCACATCATGGTCTCTGCCTCCCTACGCCCGCTGCCTGTCCTTGGCATTTTTCTTGACATCCCACCCCTCCCTGCTGGCCCCATGGCACTAGGTCACAGGCCCCCAACACTTACCCGAAATGCTGCACCACGCTAGGGAGCATGGCAGCCAACTGGTCCATGGATGGAAACTGGTACCTGGGGGCAGGATGGACACACAGTGAGAAAAGGAGTGTTGGGGCAAGGCCCCAAAGTGCTCATACAGGGGGAGCCCAGGCCTTGGGGCCTGGAGAACCCAGGCCAGGGCTGGGAGAGGCTCTGGGCACCTACGCACACGCATTACCTCCAGGGAGAGACAGCTCTTCCCCTCCCACTCCCCACTACCTGGCCTCTCCTCCCAGAGCAGGGCACAGCCCTTCCCTTCCCCCCTCTGGGACAGACACAACCATCCCCTTCCTATTTCCCCCCACAGGGTGTGGGCCATGCCCAGGGACCCCATTGGTGCCCCTTCCAGCCACCCTCCCTATTGCTACGCTAGGAGCCGTGCTGATGTGCTCGGGAGGAGGAAGTCTCCATGATCCTGACCCTTCTAGGGGTTGAGGAACCTGACTCCCCTTCAGAAACGGGATGCTCTGCGGGGCCCAGGATGAGGGAGGCCAAGTCCCAAGTTGCTCTGCAGCGCCTCCTAGCAGCTGGTACAGGCCGGGCGTTCCCGGCAGGAGAGCCCACCTTCTGAACCAGGAAAAGGAGCCAGGAAATCAGACAGAGACCCTGAACATGAAGAGCTGGGCTCCTCCATGAACAGCATCCCAGACAGGCTGGGAGGGCTTGGGCACCTACCCCTGTGGGAACTGCGACGCTCCGGCCTGCTGCCCTGGTGCATCCACGTGACACACCACAAAGTGCTTGGTGATCTCCTGCATGTCCTCGAAGTTGAAGAATGTGTTGAAGCACAGCTTGTCTGTACAAGGTTGGGGGAAGGAAGGGGGACAAAGGACAAAGGGAAAAAAAGACCAGAGGCAAAAGGTCAGCAACCATTTAATTAGGCATGGAATGATTAGATTTTTAGCAGTAAATGTTGGTAAACCGTCAATTTCACCGTACACACGCAAACCAATAAAAATATTTCCGTCGATCCTGATAGAAATTTACAGACTGGCCAAGTAAGAAGAACGCTGCCTGAGAACAGGATATTTACACTTGGTATATTTTGACGTGTTACGGTAATTAACTGTCTGACTAGGGTGACCAGACTGCAAACGTGAAAAAATCGGGACGGGGGTGGGAGTCTATATAAGGAAAAGACCCAAAAATCGGGACTGTCCCTATAAAATTGGGACATCTGGTCACCCTATGTCTGACCCCCCCTCCCCTCCCCATGGTCCAATCCCTCCGTAATTTCCTGCAACTGTGACAATGTAAATCATGAAAAATGTTTTTAAATGGTTAAGAATAAACATCGACACGATCCATCGCAATGGTAAAAACATACAAATGGAATTCTGTCAAGCTGACATTTAATCAAGATGAAGGCTAAAGAAAACAAATGCATAGAGAGACAAACGCTGAGAGAGAAATCCTGGCCATCAGCTGCTGCTCTCAATATCTAGCCTGGCTCTGGGGTGCAGAGCAGATGTGGTATCCCAGGTATCTGACTCCTGGATGGGCCTGACTCGCCTTTCACACCTGCCCCACACTCACGCTGCTGACATCAAGAGCGTTACTCCTGATTCACCCTGGGGTGAACGAGATCAGAAGCAGGCCTGTCCTCTTCTCAACATCTTGTGTTTCTTGGCCACAAACACCAATCCTTTCTGATGGGCTTTCCCTGCTACGCTTTACTCACCCATCGCTAGGGGAGACAATGTGGTCTAGTGGTTAGCACACAGGTCTGAGAGTCAGAATTCCAGGTTTCTACTCAAGGCTCTGCCACTGACTTCTCGTGTGGACTTGGGCAAGTCAGAAAGGCCAACATCTTCAGGCACCTACATCCATACGGAGGCACCCACAGCAGTGGCCTGATTTTCAGAGCATCTGCAGAGCTGCGTGGCACTGAGAATCAAACCACTCTTCGTGGGGTCTGTCTAGTCGTTTGGGTGTCTAACTATAGGCACGCACATTTCGAAACTGGGCCCGTGGCGTGGGATTTTCCAAAGCATCTAAGTGACTTAGGCACACATGCCCCACCAAAATGCTATTGGGCTGCAGTTGTGCTCCTAATCCCCCTGGGCTCTTTCAAAACTCTCATCCCCTAACTGTTGTATGCCTCACTTACCTGGCCTGGGAATGCCCAGCTCACCAGGGCTGGTTAAGATGGTTACCATCCCCCCTCTCTCCGGCAGGCCAGCCTGCATGCTGTTCCCCTCCCCCCTCTGCAGCGCTTCCAAGGTGACCTTCCTGCAGCAGCAGCTTGCCTCCAGCCTGCAATCAGGTGACATCCATTCTGCTCCCATCCAGTCCTCCCTTCGCACAGCCACAGCCAGCTTCTGGGAAAGAGCAGGGGCTGCTTTCATACCCAGGGAGGCCTTCGGTGAATGCCCCATCCAGAGGGGATGCCACCGGGAAGGTCCCAAAGCCCCCGTCACTTAGGAACTCTTCCCCCCAACACTTAGGAACTCCCCCCAAGGAGCCTTGGGCTCCTTGTCACAGCTGAGCAAGGGGGACAGGAGAGGACGCCCTTCTCTGGGCAGGGCTCCCTTTGGATCCCATCAATGCTCCCCTCTCAGCTCCATGGTGAACGATACAAGGTTCCCCCCTTTGCTTCCAGCCATCGCCTGTCTGAGGAGGAAGTCCGATTCAAACCAGAGCTTGCCATGCCCACAACTGCTCAGCGAGGCCTTGCTGGGCCACAGAACTGAACACAACCCACCAATGCCCCTGAAAACATTCACACCGCGATCCCAGGGGGAAAGAACAAACCTCCGGGCTCCTCCAAGCAGCTGGGGCGGAGTGGATGGGCAGCGAACACCACGGCATTCAGCTCTAGGCCAGCGGTTTGAACGTGACCCAGGCTGCCGTGAACCCAAGGCCAGCTCCAAGGGCACGGCTGTGTATACTGGGATCGCCATTGCAGCAGCAGACTCAGCAGCCTGGCCAAGAACCAAATGTGTCATGGAGACGCTCCCTCATTCTCCCCAGAGGGTCAGGGCAGGGGGGAAAGCATCCCTTGCTGTGGATCAGGAGAGGACTCTGCTCCCCAACCCAGCGCCTGTTGCCAGCACTGGAATTCACAGCTGACCAACCGTCCAGCTCTCTGCAGGCAACCCAGCAGCATTGGCTGGCTGCCTGCGCCCCACTGTCCTTTCGCCCTGCCCATCTGCTGTGCTGGTACGGGTGCCCCGGGCAAGGGATCGCTTTCTGAGGGTTCTTGTACGCTTCGGTGCCATGCTGCTCACAAGAATGGAGTGGGCGGAGAGGAGAAGGAAAAGACAGTGTGATGCACGCATGGGCCCCACAAGCCAAGCCAAGTCAAGTCAAGTGATGGGGGCTTTGGGACCTTCCCGGTGGCATCCCCTCTGGATGGGGCATTCACCAAAAGCCTCCCTGGGTATGAAAGCAGCCCCTGCTCTTTCCCAGAAGCAGGGCTGATCTCGATCTCGATTCTCTGCCCTAGAATCCCCTACTGCTTATCCCTGGGGAGAGGCAAACGTTTTTAAGCACTAGCAGGCTGATTCGGCACAGCCTTGTTCCTCGTGTCTCAGGGTCACATCAAACAATGTTTGCTGGCTCTGCGCTGTTATAATGGGCAAAAAAATAAGCCAGGTGTATCAGACCTCCCCCCACCACTCCTCTCACCCCAGCCCTCCTTCTGAGGCTTCAGTACAGTCCCTAAATCAGCGGCTGATCATACTGCTCCTGTTTGCTTTTCCACGGCTGCAGCCTCCATTAGCTTGGAATCCGCAGCCTGCTTGGAAGAAGGTCTCCTCCCTGTTGCAGTCCGCAGGCTGGAGGCAGGCATTGCTTTCTGCAAGCTTTGGGACTGTATTAGTATTGGAAAAGTATTACGGATTTACACCCATATAACTGGTAGCAGAATTGGAACCATTTCAACCTAGCTGGCACATCCTGTCACAGAAGGCAGCATTCACCACACTCCAGCCACCAGCAAGTCCAGAGATAGAAGGGGGCATGGAGGAGTTTAATATCAATATTCACTTCCAAATAACTGCAGTGTGAAATTCCCTTTGTCAAAGCAGGGCTTTCTCAGTGGAATTTTTATTTAGGATGAACAACGGATTTATTATAAGGTAAGGAAAACGCCATGTGATTACTCAACAGCTGCATACTGTGGTTTAAACGACCATTTCTACCCCATTCTTAGTTGAATATATTTTGAAGAAGCCAGATGGTGATTTTTAAATATACAAGGGTCTCACATAATCCAATGTGAATGTGCTCAGAGACTTTGGATTTTATAATCCTACATAAAATATCATCTGCCATCCTGGGATTTGGGCTCCTCTGTACTCGGCCTGTTGCAATCACTATGTACTATTTTATTTTGACAGCAACTTTGGAGGGTCTCCACTGTCTAGGAGGTGATAATTCTATCCTGGGTTAATTCTGAAGTAGAACTGGGCAAGATTTTTCAACCAAAACTTTTTTTCTGCAAAATAAGGCAGATTCGGTGGCACAGAAATGTTTCACAAATTCATGTTGGATTTGCCGAATGGGTTTTTTTTTTCACTGAAACCAAAGTGTGGAAAAAGCAAAAAGGTTAGCTTCAACTTTTTTTAAAAACAAAGAGATTCCCTTTAATTAAAAAAAGCAGTCAAAAATGTTTGAAACGGGTCAATACTGAAATGAGCAAAACATTTTGTTTGGACAAAATCAAAACTCTCTGCTCCTGAACAAAAGGCTTTCAACTTTCTGATTCGGCAAGCATTTCAAAAAAGTTTGTTTTCGGTTCAACCCACAACAAAATCTCCCCCCCACCCCCTTTCTCATTTTTCGAAAGTGCCAGAGAACTATAAATCTATTAATCACCCAACCCTACTTTGAAATCCTCAGGGCTCCCTACCCAGCTAGGATTATTGCGGAGTCATTATTATACTCAGCAAGGCTGACCCTCCCCAGAATGGATGCAACCCTTTGCTGTTGCTACTTTGTTTCACAATGGAATTGGATGGGAGGGGCTTGGATTCTCTCAGAAGGTAAAAAACAGCCGCTGTTGTAGGGACAAGAGCTGTGGTAGGCTGTAGGGACTGCAGCGAAGCTAAGGGACAGGCATGAGGGGCTAATCCTGCAGCCTCTGACCTCACTGGCAAAGCTCCCATGGATGTCAGTGTGGGAGGAGAAAATCCCCTGTCGCCAGCTTGAAAGTAGTTACAGGAGCTATCCTGCGTGCTGGGATGATGTTAGCCAATCAGAGTAGAGAGATTTGTATATTCACAGTTTGAGAAAACACTGTATGGTGCTTATGCAAATTGGTTAATCACAGCTGCCAATCACACTACAGCCATTCACATTGTCAGTGGATACAGCTTGGTAGCCCTACAGACATGATGCTGGCCCCACTGTAGTCAATGGAACTTGGATTTCACACACACTCCAGTATGGGGAATTGCGTTAATAAAATTCTGCATCAGGAACTGTGTACTGGAGACAATTCCATCTTGGTGTAATTAATCAAAAATAATCAATTCATCAGGAGAAGGTAATGGGATAGGAAGGACAGGTTGGTGGGTAGGGGACTGGATTGGGACTCAAAAGATCATGTCTCAGCCAGACTCTGGCTACATCTATGCTGCAGACCTCCCTGTGGCAGCAAGTCTCACAACCCAGATCACCTAATTCGGGTCCTAAGACTCACACTATGGAGCTAAAAATAGCAGTGTAGACGTTCCCGCTCGGGTGCTGAACGAAAGAGGTGGGTCTCAGAGCCCAGGCTCCAGCCCTAGTGGGAATGTCTATGCTGCTATTTTTAGCCCTGTAGCGTGAGTGCGAGTCAGTTGATCTGGGCTCAGACTCACTGCCAAGGGTTATTTTTGCAGTGTAAACGTACCCTTTGTGTCACCTTAAGCAAATCACTTCATCATCATAGCTTGCTCTGATATGGCACTTTTCATCTATAGATCTCAAAGCATTTTACAAAGGAGGTCAGTCTCATTATGTCCATTTCACAGATGGGGAAAGTGAGGCACACACAGGGAAAAGTGACTTGCCTAAAGTCACCCAGCAGGCCAGTGGCAGAATTGGGAACACAACCCAGGTCTCCCAACTCCCATTCCAGTGCTTTAGCCCCTAGGCAATATCACTGTGACTCGGTCCCTGCTCTGCAAATCGCGGATAAAAGCCCTTCCCTACCTCACAGGAGTGTTGTGAGGATAAAATCCATTCAGGATTGAGAGGTGCTCAGCTATTACAGGGCTGAGGGCCATATAAACACCTAGATAGATAGAAAATAACTAATATACATGCTTTCCCTTTCATCCAATGTGCTTTACTAACATTCACTTGGACTCACAACTACTGTCTTGGCCCTTAAAAATTCCTCTGTTCAGTTTTTTGAACAGGAACTCAGTGTTATTCAATGGAATTCACCCTTGCACGGCAGGCAGGACCAGGGTTGAGGGCTGTACAAATATTTGCAACAAAATCTGAAATCCTCAAAAGTAGACTTGTGTAAAAAAACAGATTTTACAAAACTATCTCAAATTTCACAAAGCGCCTGGGAAAGGTGGGGTTTTGCTACAAATAAATAAAAAGAATTTTCACTCTCAAATTGTTGATTCCGTTTTAAGGCAAATAGTTAAAGGTTTTTCAAAAGTCACAGTGTCACTGCCTCTAAAATCAGTTTTTCTCATCCAAATATGTGAAATTTGGAAATGTGAGACACTTCAATTTTGAAGGGGGCGGGGGGAGACCATTTCAAATAAAAGACATTTTGGGGTCATAAAATGATCTAGAATGAAAGTGCAAATAATTTCTTCTCAAACATTGAAGTAAAAATAACAATACCCTTGTGAGACAAAAATGGGAACAATAATCTTAACTTCAGGTGGGAAAACTCAGAGAGTTAAATGGGCCTTTCCCCGTGCACACAGAGTCAGTGGCAGAACTGACCCAGAAGTCCTGACTCCCAGTCCCCATCCTCTAACCACAACACACTGTTCTGTCCCAGTGTCAGTCACAGAACCCATCTGTGCTGATCCTCGGACCCCTGCTGTCACCACTAGACAGCACTCCCTGCCTCTGCAGCCAAGAGTATAGACTGCAGCTTGATTGCAGAGGTGAAATCCTGGGCCCAGTGAAGTCAATGACAAAACTCCCCTTGACTTCCCTGGTGCTAGGATTTCACCCCAGGTGCAGAATTTCTGGAGGACTTAAGTTGGAAGCCAATTCGGCCACCCGTGGTGACTGCTGCTCTGAGCCATCACCCATCATCCCTGGCTAATAAGCCCCTGGCTCCAGTTCATCTGGGTTTGCTCTGAGATCAGGGAGCAGTGGCTGTCTCAGATCCACACAGCCATCAACCCCAACTCCGGCAGCAACGGGCAAGGAGCCCCTCAGCTATAATCTCCAGTCTCTTCTGGACTAGGATTACTTTCTTCTGCCCTTCTTTTGTGGGTGGCAGCCTGCCTCTGGGCTTGCTTCTAATCCCCCTCACTTTCCGCTTCCACAGAACCTCGCTGCTCTCCGCTGGGGCTGTGCTCAGAAAACCGACCTCCTGCCAGCTCTCTCCACCACACCCGCACTCAGACCCCTGAGTGCACTTAGCTCAGGATGGAGCGCAAATGCAGCTGCCTAGGATGGCACGGCCCTGCCAGTTTGAGGCATCAGAGAGGACGTTAACGAGGTCACAGGCGTTCAGCCCCTACTTGGCGCCTTACAGCCGAGATGGCTCAGTTCAACCACCCAGCAGCTCACGGCTCCCTGGCATCATCCTGGAGGGTTGGGAGAAGGTGTAATTCACGAGGTAGACATGCCCGTCTCCAGGAGCACAGTGACCCCCGGCACCTCTGCAGTGTCAGGAGATAGAGGCACAGACATTCCAATACTAGGGCAGACCAAGGCTGCATCTTGTCCCGCATCCTCTGTCAGTGGCCAACATGGGTTCCTTAGAGGAAGGTGGAAAACCTTCAAGCAGCATAACCTGCCGTGCGTCATACACAGCCATGGAGGGGAGAGGGAGAACTTCCTGCCCCCTGCTGGTGATCAGTTTGCACCATGCACACAAAGAGTAATACCTCTTGTAATTTTACCCCAGCATCTAAGAACCCATGCTACTAGGCCCCATTGCAGCTTCTTAAATCTCTGGTAAATCTTATTCAGCTTCAATCACATGCTGCAGCAGTGAGTTCCACAGATATCCTGAGCCTGCCTAGAAATGGGATCTGAAACCCAAAAGGCGAGAACATTACATCCCAGCCATCACTACCCTCGGAGCTGCAGCAGTTTGCTCACTCTCAGCAGGTTGCATTGGCAACCTCTGCTAGTTATTCCTGATGCCAAACCCCAAAGGCAGCCAGTTGATGACTGCAGCCATGAAACATTGGACTCCTTGGGGATAACACTGACCAGACTGACAATGGGATCACGCCCCCTCCTCCCCTACACGGTTAGCAGCTTGTGGCCAGGATGGAAGGGTTGCACTTACGGTTGAGTCCAACATCATGGTAGGTCAGGATGGCCGGGCGATTTCCCTTTGGGGACCCTCGAATGACCACATGCAGCAGCCCGTATGGGGTCTCGATATCATGCTCCTGGAAGAGAGAGAGAGAAAAGACAGGGTTACATGTCGCCCCTTCCTGGGGTCACCCTATTACCGAAAAAGGTGACCAATAACAAAATTCTACCAGGCAACTTCTGCCCTCCTCAGCTCTCTCACTCGCAGAGCCATGCAAGCCTGGCCATGCATCGTGCTGGGATGGAAGTAACCAGTGACAGCAATCGCTAGAGACACACTCTGCCTGCAACAGATGCACCCCTGTCACTGACATCATCACACGTGTGTACGCTGCCATGCACTCAAGCCTGTTCACACATGCAGCACACACGTTCACTCTCACGCACTGACACACCCATGCCTTTACACACTTCTAGCGTCCACTCTGCCAAACAGAACAGGAGGACTTGTGGCACCTTAGAAACTAACCAATTTATTTAAGCATAAGCTTTGGTGAGCTACAGCTCAAAACAGGTGTACCCTCACATGCAGATGCACGCTCCTGTCGACCCTTCCCTCCTACAGACGTTCCCCATAAATGCCCATAAACACAGCAACCATTTTCATGGCATTGGATCCGATCGACACAAATATCCCCCACATCCTTCCCAAAGATAGAAAAGGGGCGATGGATTTTTAACAGCCGCATCCCAAATCCACAACCTCATCTGCATACATCACTCACACCCAAATCACCAACTGGAAACACACATGGTCATTCACATGCACAAATACCCAACCGGGGTGAGCAATGGGACAGACAAAAGTATCCAAAACCATGCCAGATATCCCCTACTGGCAGGTACTGGCAGGAGACTCTGGATTACAGCAACCCAGATTTGTCTTGCCATTTTGCATTTTTAAAAGGCCAGATGTGGATCTAGAGCAGATTAGACAAGGCTGTCCTGCTGTCTTCCAGCCCCAGGAAAGTCTTGAAGTATGCCCCAAAGATTAGGAGCCTATGAATTGCCAGACTGGAGCAGACCTGAAGGTATCTAGCCTAGTGTTCTGTCTCTGACCGCGGACAGAACCCGATACTTCAGAGGAAGGCGCAAGAACCAAGAGATGTGGGATTATCTGCCCCCCACATTGGTCTCTAATAATTGAATGAAGCTCTGAAGAACAAGGTTTAATCCCTTCCAACATGTGTATCATCATTAACTCTGATAACTCTGGCTATTCTAGTTACCTAAACAACTGTTCAATCCCTTTTTGGAATCTTGCTAAATTCTCGGCCTCAATGACATCCAGTGGCAGTGAGTTCCACATGTTAATGGGGTGTTGTGTGAAAAAGGATTTCCTTTCATCAGATTTGAATTTTCCACCTTTAATTACACACACACATGCACACGGCAATTCCACACAAATCACTGCATTTCACCCACTCCTCTTTATTTAACTATATGAAGCCATCAGGACACAGGGACCGGTCATTGTCATTGACTTAAATAGCAGCAGGCCCATAATATGTATGAAAGAGGCTACCCAAAAATAATCTTTTGCCCTTCTAGGGTCTATTCCATCCAAGGATGTCAAAGCTCTTGAGAAACATTAGGGTGATGATCGCCCCATGGTGAAGGCTGGCACAAAACCACCTGAACCATTTAAATCCCACTAAATCCCTACTTAAACCCCCTCTGCACAGGGTGCCTTTCCCCCATTTGTGAATTAAGCTTTACAACTCCTCAATGAGGCAATCATCAGGATCTCTTTACAGATGGGGAAACTGAGGCTCAACAAGAGACAGTGACTTGCCCACTGTCACACAGAGAGTCAGTGACAGCTCCTGGCACCCATAAAATGCACAATCCTTCCTATAAATGTCAACTTCATTAGGCTCTTATTAGCACAGATTTCTTGACACTCCAGAGAGTAGCGGCAGCTTCATAAAAATTAATCACCTAAGAAATTTCCCCCTCCTTCCTAAACCATCAGAGAGTTAAAGGCATGACAAGGCAGCCTTGGGACACCAATGTTGATCTCTATGCTGCAGTTCTAGCATTTACCAGAAGCCCTAATGAAATGGGAAGATCCGAAGTGGGTACACAGGGGAATAATGTCCTGTCCCATTAAGCTTCTTGAATTAGCAGCTCAACAGTTGCAGAGAAACAGGGCCCAAATCCTCAGACAGTGGAAATCACCATAGATCCATTGACTTCAAAGGAGCGATGTCAATTTACATCAGCGGAGAATCTGGTGAAGGGAGGTTCATCACAGCAATGCTGAGACACACACCAAATTGCAGACAAGCAAATTTCGCACCAATTCACTAGCTTGACAGCAGATACAAGAGATCTGGGAAGATCACAGGGACTGAACTCAGCGTGGTTTTTACTGACAATAATGGGATGACTGTCCAGGCAATTATAGCTGACTCATCAGCATGATATCCAAGTGCCTTACAAGTTAAAGACCCCAAAGGGTCTGATGTGACCCAGGAACGTCTTAATGCCAACTGGCAAGCAGCACAAAGGGGGTGCAGAGAGGTTGGGTCACAGTTTGGGATCTCTTGGGTCGGGTATGTACATTATAGTTCACCAAAGAACGTCAAGTGAGGTCTCAAATGAAAGCCGATGTCACACTGGTCACCAACATTGTCGTGAAACATACGTACAGAGGCTGTGTGAGGAGTTATGTATGTATACTGAAAATTGTGTTCTTAGAGTGTGTCTGGGGACCGGTCACCAGCAAAAGTGAAAGGTAGGCTCTCTTTCAGGTAAGAAATATTTATCTATCTGGCTCTTGACATATAAATTAAGTATTGTATGTTTCACAACGGGTCTCCTCTCACCTGTCTGAACTGCCCGTAAGGATTGTAAGAATTTCAAAGAGAGAAAATTAAAAGTAAACCCTGCAGGGAGTAGGGAGGAGGTGGGGGAGAGGGCTTTCCCTGAGGTAAACATCCAAGGTTTGCTCTAGTGTATCTGGGGAACAAAGACGACACTCTGTCCTCCTTCGCCTAGCAAGTAAACGGGCAGCGGGTTTTACTTCATGAAAGAGGAGTCTCAACCAGGCACGGTTGAGAACACTGAAGAGAACATTGGGTCGATAAACAGACGGGGGAGAACAGGTTAGTTAAGTTTAGGCTCTAGAAAGTGTGTTTGATTTTGTTCTGTACGTAACCATTTGTTCCCAACGTTCTTACTCACTCTCACTTGAATCTCTGTGCTTTGACGATAAATTTATTCTTGTTTTCGCTACATCTCAGTGCTGTAGGGTTACGCGAAGTGCTGGCCCTGAGATGTGTTCCTTTGGGAAGAGCTGGCCTGGTAAGTCTGTGAGTGTCCAGTGGATAAGGGGCTGGACTATACAGGGAACACGCAAATGATGAAGGGGTTGATGTGCGCCTTTTGCCACCTGCGCAGAGACAGAGAGGCCTGCAAAGCAGCACGCGTGCTGCCAGAGGCTGCTGGTGTCAGGGAGCTGACCCAGAGCAGGCACAGACATGACTTCCTTGTGCTCAGGGCAGGTGGTGGTGAGGTGCCTCCCAACCCTGGGTAATGTCACAGTCACGCCTTTCCTGCCCCATGGATAGGATGTTTCTGTTCCCGGGGAAGGCTGGGCCGTTGCACTAGGAAGATGCTATGGTTCGTGATCATTGTCATTTCCACCACGAGGGAGTCCCACGGTGCTGACCAGGCCCCGTTTCCTGCTCCCACACATCTCACGCCAGAGGTTGAGAGTTTCCTAATTCCAGTGGGAGGTCACGATGCAGGGTGAGGAGGATCCTAGGGTCATGGCAGATATGGAGGCCTCCGAAGAGAGGAACCAACACCAGGAGATGAGCTGCTCAGATACTATAGTGATGATGAGCACAGGGTTAGGAGAGAGAGAGAGAGAGAGGGCAATTACGGGGCCCTTCATCCCTAGGTCACTGGTTCAAACCAGGCCTAAGTCAGCCATCACGATCACGCAGGCGTTTGCTGTGGAATGAGCTGGAGAATCTCAGGTTAGGTGTCCACCTCACAGACCCCCATGACGCCTGGGATGCTGCCTGTCTCAACGGAATGGGCTATGGCGTCTGAAATGCCCTTTCACATGCAGATTGCCAGACCGGGCCACAGCCCTGCTCAGCTCCACCCACTCCAGCCCCCGCATCTCCAGCAGCGGCCACAGCCAGCTGCTCCTGAGGAAGGCACAAGCATCCCCACAGCAGGCAGTTACGGGCCCACCTGCCCCCAGGGAACACTTCTCCCCATTTGGTACAGGTTGGCTTATGCTCCTGCCTAGAGGTGGTCCCTCTGGGCTGGCATTAAGCTTGTCAGGGCTGCCACTTCCCTTGCCCTTAAAAATTGCCAATCACACCCGCACCATGATCTCCTTGCCAGCCAATCAGAACACACCATTCCTGCCTACTGGAGGAGGAGGATAATGTAAGCAGTCAATCGCAGACAGCCTCTGTTGTTATTGGCTGGAACAGGCAGTCTTTCAGCACCTTCCTCCAGCTCCCGATCCCCCCATCAGTACCCAGTGCTATAACCAGAGAGGCAGCAGCATTGGCAGGAGGACAGATTCAGGGCAGCCGTGCCAAGCCTCTCGGGGTCCTTTGGGGTCACAGGCACATGGCTGGAAACAACCTCAAGACAGCATGTGCCGGGGCTGCAAACTGGCCATGGCAGGGGTTTTCCCAGAGCGCCTGGGGGGAGGACTGGAAAGTTGCCAGATTCCAGAGCAGGATGCCGGGCTCAGGACATCAGTGTTCCCTTTTAACGAAAACTAGGGCAATTAGCAAACAGGATCTGCAGCCAGAATCAGCAAGAACTTTAGTGTTAGAGAAAATCATTCTTACTGGAGACAATGGAGCCTGCTAGAAAGAAAGAATCATTCCCAGCATGGATGTGGGTGGGTGGAATGAGGGGACTGGAATAGCACAACAAGGACCGTGGGGTTAAAACGGGAAGCTAAATCCCAATAAGGCACGATGCTAAAAGACGCAGTGAGCCCTGGCCCCGCTCAATCGCAATCAGCAGGAGCTAGAGATGCTCTAATTCCAGGTTCTCCCTCAGAAAGAGCCCTTGACCCTAATCTGTCTTGCTG